GGACCCTAATAGATGGCTGAAAGGTCTCTTCCATCTTCCAAGTTTGGACTCTCTACTGATTTCATGAGCCCACAAAACCAAGGAAAAAGTGACTTGTTTTTCCAGTTAAATATGTGCCCATTCTGTGTGCATGTCTTTTTTTTTTCTAAGAGCTCGTTCTCCATGTCCACTGTTTTACAGCAGACACAGTTCTAAGCAGCGGAATTTGGATTTCAAATGAATCTACTTTATCTCAGAATTACAGATCTGATTGTGAGACTACCTCTTGATTCTGGTTTGCAGTGCAATAATCCAATTGCTTATTTCACTTAACGCAAGAAGCAGCCCTCCCAGATTTCAGAACTCAGCACACAGGGCAGAGGATTCAGAGATCTCCCTTGTGCAGCATACAAGGAATTAGGTCCCTTTCTCACCTACCTGCTGTTTCAACAGCTCTCGAACTTCCATTAGCACACGGTTAGTCTCTCTCATCTCTTCCAGCATTTCTGGCCCAATTTCAACTCCTAAAAAAACCCAGAGAAAAACACACAAGAGCCATTAGCAGTAGAAACCAATTGATACTATTAACTTCAGCTTAATATTGAAGATACAGACTCCTCCACACCAGCCTCTGCCAGTTCAATAGACCTGCACAGGGGGTAGAGTTTGCTCTGAGCAGGACAGCCGGCGATAATCAGCCATGCCTGTCAGGTAGGTAACAGTTACCCCTCAGCAAACAAATTGCCCTGGCAGTCTGGCAGCTGTGGGAGCTGTTAATCTGGCGTGGTCTCTGCAGTTCACACATAGGAAGGTTTTGCTGCCAAAAGAAGCAAATTAATAATTCAGTGCTGTGGAAGCTGAGATGAAGGGCACCACTAAAGTAAAAGCTCTTTGCTGAGTCTATCCCAAACGTGCTGCCAAGTACTGAACGTGAAAAACCGGCACGTCAGCCGTTGCCTCGCCTGTTCTCAAGGTACAGGTTTTTTGTTTTCTTGCTGGAAACAGGTTCTTTTTGGGTGGCGGGAGTTTCAAATTGCCCTGGAGTGGCTTTGTGGCACAAAGGATACATCTGCTCATCCCTGCAACAGTGTAAAATCCTGTTTAAACTCTGCTGAGCAGAGGATATAAATCATTTTACAAGGTTATCTAGGGCAGGTTAATGGGACTTTTCTCTCCCATCTGCTAGATTCTACACTTGCCTAGTCCTCTGAGATATGCTAAAAATCTAGTCTCTACTCTGGCTTTGCTCAAGAAGAATGAATGGAAGTAGCTCACTGTTTCTAGAATTATGTAAGTTTTAAGAAAACTTGAACCATTTAAAAACAATGGGACACAAAGTTCAACTCTGGTATTTTCCTGTCTGCTGTGAGAAAGAACAACCTCATTTCTCTTGTTTTTTTTCTAATTAATTGATCCTCTAACAGCAACACCTCGCCTACAGTGTGAGCAAACCTTTATGAAGAGAGAAACAGCAGTATCTCCTACAAACAGCACCAGGTGTTCAGGGGAAAATTAACTGGAGTTAGGGGTCTGCCTCCTTGAGCATGAGGAATTTGCCAGTGCCAAAGGCAGGATGTGAGCCCGTGCTACTGACTTGGTACAACAATTTCTGCAATCTTGTGTGACAAATGAGCCCGAAAGCCTCATGGGGCTTCCCTGCACAGAACCAACAGGACTTTCTGAATATTTGTAAACTCTCCAATACACTTTGGTTTGGGAACTGAGTTGGAAGTACCACAAATTTGTCATTCTAAGACAGAAAGAATGAATTAAAGTGACATTTCTTACTTTATTGAAACAAGGAGCTTGCACATAATTCCTAACTTCAAACAGAGGTTTTGAATAAGCTATGCATGAAGGCTTCAGGCAGCTTCCGTTATTCCTAAGAAGAATTTTCCATCCCTAGTAGCAAGATGTAATTTAAAATAAAAGTTTGTTGGTTTTTTTTTTTTTAATATTCAACTTCACAATAATGATTCAACCACTTAGGGGCGATTTCCAAAGGAAATCTATGCACTTGCAGACATTTCCATTACTACGCATCCTTCTCCGTGAACTCATCCTGTCTCCACAAGCACACACCTGAATCTCTGGAACACAGTCTGAGTCTGCTGGATCTCACAGATCCTCTTGGAGTTGAGCATTTCCCTAACGGGAACTTTTGTAATGAACTTAGCCTGGCTACGTTCCTAGATGACAGGGCTTCCCTGAGCTCTGTGTGCACAGGCAGAGACAATATCCAAGGATCCTGCTATAGCATATTCTGTATGATCTGTTTTGGGTTTTTTTTTTTAACTTAAATTACATGCAAAATGTAAAGTGTCTCTTGCAGGTCATTACAAAACACACCAAAATTTCCAGTTGCTCTAGAATATTTGTTTTTCTTAAGAAAAACAATTTTATTTATTTTATTTCTTTAAAACTACTCAGGAGGGAAACTGGGGAAAAATCTGACTGAACATTTATACAGTTAAGCTTCAAGTCTCATATGAAACTATAAAATCCCTAAAGATTGTTTTTAAGGCTTCAGTAGATGCATTCTTCTTCCTCATTCCCTTCTGCAAAACTGAATTTTGATAGGAGTCTGCAAAGCATATGAGTCCAGAAAATACAGAGATAATTAAAATTACTTACCTACTCTTCTCTGCTGACATGATGAAAAAGGACAAGAGAGGCAGAGGAGAAAGACAAACGCTAGAGCTGAAGTCATCTTTGAGTCTGCAGGCAGTGTGGATGTATGGGCTTCTCTTGCAACGAATTTTTAACCTGCAGGTTTGCCTCTGCTCCCCATTAGTGTCTGTGGTTTGCTATTTATGAAGTTGCATTCCTTCCTCTGAAGTTCTTATTCTCTGATGCTGGACGAGGGGTGGACGTCATTTCTGGCTGCTAGTCCACAGAGAACGTTACAAAAGTAAACAATATGAGAAACTCATCAGGAGAGTAGTTTAATTTTTTTTTTTTTTTAGACCAGCTTGCCCCAAAATAGGTCAGAAAATTCCAGAATTAAATGGATTCTTTTTGGATTGGGGTTTTTATTTCTTCTTCATAGGACACAGGATAGACGGATGATTCATAGCCTTATCCCTCACAGATTTTCCTTCTAAAATTGCTCACAAGATCACAAAGGCTATGAGACATCTGGACTTCACTAGAGTTTCAGAAAAGGCTCTTTAAACTCCCAAAAGACAGTTTCACCACTCACACTTGGGGCTGAATTATTGAATCATCTTCCACTTCCAAAGAGGAGCTATCAGATCTTATTTTGGAGAGGGATCAGGCAAATGTACTAGCCCATAGAGGCTGATGTTCTTACTACCCCCTACCCAGGCCTGTCTAAAGGAAGGATGCAGTGCAGAAGTGATGGCATGAAAGGAAGACAGACTTTGCTATTTCTTGTCTGTGAAAGAATGAGTCTCAATCCAGCATTTTCCATCGGTCAGTCTCAATCCAGCACTTTCGATCAGAAGACACAGAGCGGATTGAGAAATCCATCTAGAACAGCCCAAGAAAATCTGCCCAAAGAAAATCTTAAAGCTTCTACATCAAGGAAATGGCAACTTAAACTGTGACCTGTAAAAAAAGGTTAGTCTGGAGACCAGTGAAATTCCTGATCACACATTCTCACTGTTTGATTGTGAAATCTGTCAGTATGTTGATCATACAACACCCCTGGGGACACAGGCAGGAAAGCCCCAGGAAACAGTAGCTCAGTCTTTGCAGTGCTATAGCAGCAGGATCTTTGGGTATTGACATAAAGATTTTTTGTTTTTCTTATTTTGACCTCAGACCTCCCATGTTCAGGAAAAAACTTCCCATCCCTGTGGCTGTGCACCATTCTCAAAGGTAACTGGGTGCAGTCTTGCAGGCGCCGGTGAGCATGCACGTTCCCTAAAGTTAAGCAACTAAAAATTATTAGTTTTATCTTACAGGAATGCTACAGCAGACAGATTTTACACTTTCTTGCACCAAGCAAATTTATATTGAAAATAAAATTAACTTGCATGTGTTACCTAGGTGGCATTTGTATGATTCTGCTTGTCTGGTACACATGCCATCTCACGTTACACACAGCAAGTGACTTTTTGCTGTCAACCCACATATAAATCAGCTCTGAGGGTTTGATACTTGTGGTAAGCTAAAGTGGTTTAGCTGGAACTCAGAACCAATTGAGTTTGCCAGGTTTTGGCATTTCTGGGTTCTTCTGGACAAATCAAAACCATGGCAACTGCTTATTAAAGATAAAATAGACTGTTTTTCCCAATGATGTTCTGGAAAATATTATTTACAATTTTTATTTTATAGCAACAAATGGGGAATGAATGAAAAATGCTGTCACCCATCCCACAGAGACCAAGTCTTTCACCTGGAACAGTGATAGCTGATGTCTGTCCAGCTTATGTTTGAAGATGCTGTTGTCAGGAGGTGAGAAGGACATTCAGACTTTGCAGACCGCTCAGTTCAGGACTCTGCTAGATGGCAAGGAAGCCCATTAGTACCTGTTATGGTAGTGGAGAGTTTTAAGGGAAAAACACATTATTTCAACAGAAGTCTGATAGGTCATTAATAAAGGAAGGTTCTTGCCAACTATACAGAAAAAAAATCTGTTTTTTTCAAGTGAGGAGAAGTCATAAAACTCCAGAAAGAAAGAGATGTAACTCACATGGAATGAAGAATGGACAAGGGTCAATTGTGAGGTCACCTCGGAAACAACTGACATCAGATTTGCTTTGTATGGAGAAATAGATGTCCATATAGAATGATGAGACAATCAATATCCTAGTACCACAAAAATAAATGAAAAGGAAAAAAGGAACTATTAAATACAAGGCAAATAAAATATGTACCAGGAGTAATGATGTTTTCTGCTATCTAAATTACAACTCAATGACATCAGGACATAAACCCAAACAAACTCATATAAAAAAAACCCTTAAAGTAAAACACCTAATAAAAAAGTTGCTTGAAAGTCCAGTATCCAGCTAACTGGATACTTCTGTGTTTCTAAGTTTTCAGGGGCCAAAAAAATCCCAGTTTTTGAGAAGAGATACTAGGCTGACTAGAAACAATCATTTTTGAGCCCATGTGAAACTGGCTTGTAAAACAATGTGACCCCCAGCCAGCAATGCAGCAGTATTTGTACCCAAGAGCTGTCAAAGGGGATCAAGAAGAGTCTTGCTCCTTCTGTAGAGTTCAGCATTTCTCTGAACACTTTCAGCTGCCCAGGATCACATGCCCTTTTTGTAATACTATAAACTGGTGATCACATTACATGTAAAAGTCACTATATTTTCTAATATGCCTATTATTTAACATTCAAAGATGAAGAAACTCAAATAATTGACATTAAAAAGAAGAAATCCCCCAAGCTCCTGGAGTCACTGCAAAGGACAAAAGGAAAAGAGTGAACCCCTCTCCCCTGAGGAGGAGAGATTTAAACTATTGGAACAAATAAGTCTTCTGCATATTAAGACAGTGATCAATACGTCTTTACATTCCTCTAGAAACCCAAAGCCATTTCTCTTTAGTCTGGGATTATTTCTATTAATTGATGGTAGCAAAATAACTGTACAAATGAAAACGTAGTTCGTTTATACAGAGCTTTCCTGAGTTGAGCAAGACACGGTGTCTCCACAGAGTGAGGTCATTCCTACCTTTATTTTCCTTGGACTCATTTTATACCTTTCTATATTCAGATCTGAGGGGTAGAAATCCCTGTAAATCACTGCTCTGACACAGCTTAAACACACAGTAGCAGATCAGAAAGTGTTTGATCATGGCTTGGTTATTTCTGGGTGCCTGTGTCTGTTTAAAAAGGATAAATTCAAAAGTAGCTGATATATCTGAACTTGTTATTATCTGATGGGGAAACATCTAGATTTGTCAATATCATTTTTTAAGCATTACTGATTTTTTTTTAAGTGAGCAGTAGATAGTGTTTATTTGGGCTTCAGAGTAAGAGTGGTTTTGCACTCTCTGCAGTGCCAGGTTAGTTACACCTTTTTTTCCTGACTGGAGTTGACATCACAAATGAAACCAGCACACAAACAAACAACAAAAAGAAAAGCTCATCCTAGTTTAAAGTTTAAATATTTTCCATCTCTGTGTTTTTAACTAATCTTTGCCAAGTGAAGGACAAAAGTCAGAAGGAAAAAGTTATTTTTCAGTCTTGTAAGGTCAAGTACTAAAAATAAGTGAAAAACACCTACACCCTCTGAAATGGTATGCTAAGTGTTTTACAATGTTTCTTATATATTTCTAGTCGTAAAAAAAACCCCAAATTATATAAAAAATGACCAGTAAGGATTTCAAAAAGCATCTCCTCCCAATACAGGATCAATAGGACCAAGGACACTCTTCATAAAGACTTCTCTACCCTGTTCTTAAACGCTTCCAGCGACAGAGACTCCACAACCACCCCAGGCAGCCTTCCAAGGCTTTATATTCCCACTGGTGGAGGATGTTTCCGAGGGATGTTATTTAAGCCTGTTGCTTCTTTTCTTATTCATCATGGACTCAAAGAGCAGATTAGTCCCATTATATTTGAAAATTTGCATATCAAATCTCTACCTTCGTAAAAGAGCCTGGTAAGGTGTGCAGCTTCTAAGTTTTATACAACCAATATAGAAAGGTGGAGATGAGAAATGATCACAGTCATTGCAGACTGTCAGCAGTCAGTCAGTTGTAAGAGAAATAAAAGTCTTGAAGTCTCAACTAAATCTTAATCTGTCATGATTTTTGTTAATTGTCACAATGCAGAAACTCTCAGTGACTCAAAATACGTGATCTATTGTGGTGAGCTGCTAGATTACAAGGGAAGCTGAAGCAACCTGACACATTAATGCAATGCTCATTTCTATTTCACTCATGAGGAGATCAGTAAGAAGCCAGATATATCAGAATTTCAGAGAGCAAATTTTTTTCAGCTTGTACTTATTTCGAATGCTATTGTCTAATGTTTGCAAATTCCAAAGATACACACTGTGAAAAGAACTGGATGCTGAAGTTTGATGCCCAGCAGCCAGCAGAATCTTCAGCCTTATCCTACCTTTCTGCTATGTGCTTCCAGCCAGACGAAACAAAAACCTACTTTCAAAAGTTTGCAAAACATGCTTTTACAGCTTGATTATGTACAAATACTTATTTCATCCGTTGCTAAAACACAAACTCAACAGACAGGATTCCTCAATGATCAGTACTTAGAGCTATTTGCAACCCGGAGGTAACAAAGGTTAGGTATTAACTAATTGATGTCAAGAATAGCACCAATGGCAGACAGATTCGTTCTTTGACATAAACACCTAAAGAGACACAAATATTATACACAAAATCCATCAGGCAATAGGTGAGAACATCCCCATCCCCTCCCCCTGTGCCTCATTCATTGCAAGATGGAATAATCCATTAAAGGCCGTGGTTTGTTACATATTTGAAGAGTTACAGCTTGCTGCAGTCTGGTTTATGTCTCTAACTTTGAATTCCTCAGGAAAGCAAGGCACTGAAGGTCACTGAAGGTCTTTTATAAATAACTTCTAATGTTGTTTTTTTTTTTTTTTTTCATTTAATCAATGGCAAACTGCAATGATAGAGAACTGAGCCTGCAAAATACAATCAATGGACGTGGCTCCCTTGTGCACTACACTAACTTTATCAGTCATTCTTCTTGTTCTCTATCCTACTACCGGACTTTGACTAATGTCAGTAAAGTCATTTACATGAGCTATAAATAAATAAATAAATAAATAAATAAATCACACAACTCACTGTGGCAATAGGCAGAAT